AATGTATTTATATATATAAGATTAGAAGTATCATTATATTAGAAGAACTACACTGAATGTATTTATATATATAAGATTAGAAGTATCATTATATTAGAAGAACTACACTGAATGTATTTATATATAAGATTAGAAGTATCATTATATTAGAAGAACTACACTGAATGTATTTATATATAAGATTAGAACTGTGATTAGATGAATGTCAAGGTGGTAGCATGGTGTGTCTGAACCTACTTTAACATATATTATTTCATAATTAGTTAAATTATAAATCTGTTATTCAAGTTAGGTGGTGGAAAAAAAATCTCAATAAATCTTTATTTAGTTGAAACTGTCTGGAATATCCCAGTTGTCCATATATATGTATGCAATAATTAACAATTGTTCTCCTGAGGTTCCGCCCCCCAGTGGCTCAGTGGTTAGTCTGAGGACTCATATCACTAAAAACCAGGTTTCGATACTTAACAACAAACAAATCTGATGCGCACCTTGGTGGGGCACAGATAAATTTTACGGCTTATAATGCTAAAAATATGGTTTCGGTTCCATTGGTGGGCAGAGTACATATAGCCTATTGTGTAGCTTTATGCTTAACAACAAACTAACTAAATAACCTTCCTCAAAAGATATGTCGTTGATACATCCCCTTCGTCTGTGAAGATATGTCGTTGATACAGCTTCTTCGTCTATGAAGATATGTCATTGATACATCCCCTTCGTCTATGAAGATATGTCATTGATACATCCCCTTCGTCTATGAAGATATGTCGTTGATACATCCCCTTCGTCTATGAAGATATGTCGTTGATACAGCTTCTTCGTCTATGAAGATATGTCGTTGATACAGCTTCTTCGTCTATGAAGATATGTCATTGATACAACCCCTTCGTCTATGAAGAATGCTTCTGTTTAATCAATGGATGACTTTATATCATGTTTTTCAAGTGATTCTGGGTTGTGGTTCAAGAGGTGATTCGTGGGTCAACTTCTTGTAAATCTACAACCTCCGTGGTTTCTTATTCAAGTTAGTTAATCATAATCTTGGCATTGTCGTACTTCAGTACAAAGTCAGGTCTGATTGCACCAGTGGAAAGTTGTTCAATACCAAATCAATTTATCAATAATTCCACACCTCGGGAATAAGATCACGCTCTTTGTTGCTTAGCACCAAAAAATCCAATTGGCTATTTCTGCTGGAGTCACCGAAGGAATTGATCCCCGAAATTTAGCATTAAAAGCTGGCAAGTTTACCGCTGAGCCACCAGGGGTACCCCGAAAAAGATCAAATATGTTACACTGAAGATTTTGTATATTTTTTGTTTTCTAGTCATTGGTAGAAAATTCACTCAGCTGTGGATAATTCAGACACCAAATGTTATCTCGATAAAAGTCTAAATGTGCTGTTCTGTCTTCATGTCAATTCTGGTGACCTTGATAAAAGTTCAAACGACTATTCGACCAGTGTAAAGTGATCCAGACCTTCTCAAAATTAACCAGACGCAAGAATTCTTGTTAGTGATAATCACTCCAGTTTTTGTCCTGGAGTTCTTATTGAATCGACTGACAATGAAGTAGCGAATCCTAGCGACCAAATTGTGCAGATAAGAATCATTATTTTTCATAGTTGATAGGTTTTCTAGTTTAAAGACAAGTTATCTGATGGCATTCTCACGATATTCCCATAACAGACCGACATACAATATTCCTAGATAAATCAACACGAGCTGTTTCTTTGTTAGCTTCCCATAATTTGAAGAACACAGTAATATTGTCAGATATCAGCTGGTGAAGACATAAACATGTACCGGAAGAGTTAGGTGTTCCCAGCATAACAAATTAAACGTGCACAAAACCAGTGATTTACCAGTTTTGGGCCCGGCACGTGCACAAAACCAGTGATTTACCAGTTTTGGGCCCGGCAGGGCCAGGTGGTTAGGGTTCTCGACTAGCAATTTGAGGGTCGCGGGTTCGAATCCAAGTCCCACCAAACATGCTCGCCCTTTCAGCCGGGGGGGGGGCGTTATAATGTGACGGCCAATCCCACTATTCGTTGGTAAAAAGAGTAGCCTAAGAGTTGGCGGTGGGTGGTGATGACTAGCTGCCTTCCCTCTAGTCTTACATTACTAAATTAAGGACAGCTAGCGCAGATAACCCTCGTGTAGCTTTGCGCGAAATTCAAACCAAACAAACAAATACCAGTTTTTGTAACTGTCATTTTTCGTACTGTATTAAATACATAATTCTCCAATGAACTGAATATCAGTTTTTAGAAATATAAGTACAAATACAAAGTTACTACAAATATAAGTACCTACCGGTTCTCGAGCGGCGAGAAAGCTATGTCCTCAGTGTCATCAAACACCAGTGTTTCAACCATTGATCCTCTGGAGCTCCCAAAGGAAACCCTACAGAGTGTCAAACATCGTTTACTTTACACGTTCATTTATATTGTTGTTAAGAGGTTAAAAAAAAGGTCTCAAGTTCACATCAATAACATAACACATATATATGAACACCACACACAGATATACTGAATATGTAAAAATATTGTAATTAAAATATTTAATAAGAAAGTAACATTACCTTGTGATAACATACATCAACGTAATGGTTGTACAGAAACTTCTTGTTTTGATAGTAACGCATGACAGGTATTTATTAAGCTTTTTGGCATAGTCTTATTAATCATATAATAATGTCATTGATATGTCCCTCAGTGGGACAGCGGCAATACATCGGATTTACAATATTACAATGCTAAAATAAAAGGTCCGACTCACCTCGGTGGACACAGCAGATAGCCCAATGTGGCTTTGCTATAACAAAACACACACACACGATTAACATAAACCATTTGTTATAGTATGAACGCTTTTTGCAAACTGACGAAGCGTGATTATAATTAATTATACTTCTCATAAAACAATAGTATCAGAACTGTTATATTTTTAAACACGACGTTCTCTATCTGGTCCCTCAAGAATGTGAAGAGTGTTTAAGTAATAGTATTCAAACCACACTATATTTGTTATATCCATTAGTGACGACGCGCTTCGCTTAATCCAGACCTAATCAGGCCGGCTTGGATACAACAAACACAGCATTCTTAAATATCTTGTTATCAGAAACAGATGATAAAGTTTATTTGTATTCCTTTGCTGTACTAGTTAGCTAGAAGACAAACATCTTGTTATCAGTTTTCATTTCAGTTGTTGAAGTGTTGTTTCATTATGTTTTTTCAGATTAATGAGCTTTAGGGTTAGTGCATTAAGTGTTTGATTTCCTTGTCCTGAGTTTTAGTGTTAGTGCTTTATGTGGTTCATTTCCTTGTCCTGTGTAATACGTTTTAGTGTTAGTGCTTTATGTGGTTCATTTCCTTGTCCTGTGTAATACGTTTTAGTGTTAGTGCTTTATGTGGTTCCTTTTCTTGTCCTAAGCAATGAGCTTTAGGGTTAGTGCTTTAAGTGTTCTGAGTAAGCTTTAGTGTTAGTGCTTTATGTGGTTCATTTCCTTGTACTTTTTTCCCCCCACTTGTGCGTTTTCATTCGAGTAAAGTGATTTTTAGAGTAACGAAGTTTTCTTGGTATTAAAGTGATTTGTTTGTAATTAAACACAAAGCTACACAATGGGTTATCTGTGCTCTGCCCACCACGGATATCGAAACCCGGTTTCTAGCGTTGTAAGTCCGCAGACCTGCCGCTGTGCCACTGCGGGGAATTTGATTTGTCCGAGTAATAAGTTTCTATTTCCGAGGTTCAAGTCATTCTTTCTTGTTGTGATTTTTATTTCAGTAGTTGAAGTGATTTCTCCGAATTTTTTATTTCAGTGATTAAAGCATTAATTACTTTTCAGAGTAATGAGTTTTGTTTTGTTTTTCGCTGGTTCAAGTGATATTCCCGAATTGTTAGTTTTTATGGTAGTAATTTAAAGTGATTTTTCCCGAGACGGGGTACGGTTGTGTAGCGAAATTTAATTGACCCTTCTGTTGATTGTTATCATTTTGTTCTAGTAGTGAGTCACAATTTTTAACAATATTCCGTTGGCGGGGTGTAATGTCTCGTTTTTTACTAAACCACTCCTTATTAGAGTCTTTATTCAAGGATGTACTGTCGGTAAGTTTCCCAGAACGAATGAAGGACGTTACGGAAAAACTTCCGGGGATGGTGTCAGTTGTTCATTTTCTCTTTCCTGTATACGTTTACCAGTTGCTACGACGAAGAGTTGAAAAAAATGTGGAAGTATAAGAGACGATAAGCTAACTGAAAAAAAGATAACGCTATCAGCTGCAAGGTTAAATATTGATACTGTTGCCAAGGGTGTATATGAGACAGAATTTTAAAACATGTATTTTATACATTTACAAAAGGCTCTTTAAGCCAAGGTAATTCATGAATACAAGATAGTCCTAAAGTGGTAGCACGTGCTAATCCAAATAATTTTTACAGCTTCTTTAACTAATTTAGCTTCTTAATCCATCTTTATTAAGCTCCGTAATATCAAAAACAAACGCACTTTACATAATACTACAGAGAAACATAATAAGTACGTTCTCGTTAAACCAATAGAAAATTAACAATAACTTAATTAAATGTACAGGATTTACAAACACAAAATTAAAATTCAACAAAGTCTCTCAATTGTACGGGGCGTATCTTCTTCCGTACTGGTCTCCATCTCGTTCATCTTCTCCATCAGGAAATGTGCTATTATCGTTAATAGTCACATTAGTGGTAGTAACTTCATTAAGGACTTCACTGTTTCCCTTATCAAAACCGAGTAGAGTTTCTTCTTCGACAGTGGCTTTTCCAGGTGACACGTCTCCAACAGCGTCTTTTGTTCCGTTGCTCACTTCGTCCCAACTGGAATGTCCTGACCGTGATAACGCCAAAGCCTGTTGGTATGCACCACCTTTGGC